TGTTACATATAGCTACATAACTTAAATAATAGTACACTCTAAAAATTAATTTTCTAGCTTCTACGGGAAAAGAGATAGAGCTTTAACTGAGATTTAGAAAATCTACTTCCTGAAAGGTTAAAACAGAAGATGTGTGAGTTTATTAATACATTAATAATTATTGCACACAACACATAATCCACAAATGTGCAAATGTTTCAATTTAATGCATCTGACTAGTTATATGCTCAAGCAAGACAATCACATCAAAGCATCATAACAGCAAACTCATATTATTAACATCTTCACATAATCACATCACGGTGAAAATTGGTCTATGGCGTCACCGAACCCCCGATGAGCCGTCCTCTCACATGGCCCATCCTCTCATGAGTGTGCACTAGGGAGCCGATCACCATACAATGGCCGCGGTTTAATCACTCACTTAACCAGCCCTCTCATTATTTTTCCATTCCTCTCTTTTCTTTTCCCATACAACAGTAGGCACCTGTGGGTTTCCATATTCATCATATCATAATTTCAGGTGCACACAGGGGCGCCAATCTCCCCATACCTAGCCCAACGGTCAAATTTCAATATTTTCATCAATTTTCTAGGACCGTCCTCATAAACCTATAAGTGACCGCTCATCCCAACTTTCACACAAACAAGGACAGAATAAATCAACATTCAACAACAGTAATCAAGCATTGGTATTAATCAGACACATGTTCAAATCAATTCAACACATAATGCAAGTGCTTAATTAGACATCCATATTCAACATGCAATAGTAAATAAGTATAAATAACAGTAATAAAACAATAATAATGAAAATAAATAATAATAATAATATAAATAATAAAATACTTTAATTTCTTTAATGTATCAAGTTCAAGAAATTAATCTAAATAAAACCTATTAATTTAATTATGTTAAAATTAGGACTAGCCTAGGTTCTATCAAAAATTTTAGCAGAACTTCCCCAAAATTTGATTAAACCATAAATTCCCAACAATGCATTTGCATAGCCTATCCTTTGGGCAATTCAAAACAACTTAATCCGTCTGCCATAACTATTATTCATTCTTTAATCATTTACCGATTCACGAGACCCATCCATCAGCAATCAATCAAATCAAGTAACCCATTCGCTTCAGGCTATATATTCAAATCTATCAACACAGCACATGTATGCATTTAATAGCTCCAAACCAATTTAATTAACAGTTTATATTAACCTTTTCGATGCAATATTTCAATAATATTATTTAATTGACCTATAATTCATTACCAAAATAACTAACACTTTTATCATAAAACTTGTTTTTGTGGCCAAATTAATATAGCTACTCATTTGATAGTTTCTAGACTTCTAAATCATTTAAGAAAACTTCTCTCAATTACATCTTTAAACTTCTCCATTCCTTAACTTCCGGTATAACTCGTTTATGTTATGCATCCTCTAAAAATTCTATAAGCTAGCCACCATAACCCATGCTAATTTTTAAATTAAATTTTTAAAGACATACAACACCTACTACATAACTCAACTCACCCTTTAACAAATACCACTTCCTATGGTTAGTTTATCTAAAATGACCCTCATATATTTGGAAGTAAAGATTGACCACGAAAGACATAGGTTCTTCTCCACCTAACTCATATACATTGTACAAATTGATTTATACCATATTCTAAATATATCAACAATTCCTAATAGTTTACGTTTTAAGTTTAAGTATCCTAAAACCCCCCCAATTAATTTCATAAACTTTCAAACCTAATATTTCAAGTTCTTTTCCAATTATTGTTTAATCCGAAATCAACTAAATTGCTGCAATAAATTTTTCATTTGGAATTTATAACAAAATTTAGGATTGGGGTCGTAGAAGTGTACCAATTGAAATCGGACAACGATTCACGATCATCGTGAAGAGAGGAGAATTCTGTCCCTTGGTGGCCTCACCGGGGCCAGCCGCCAGTCGCCGAACCCCGCCGGCCAACCTTGCACGGTGGCCGAAATTCATAGCCTCTGTTGGAATTTGAGCGTGCGCTTAACCACCAGACTCAAAATTCCACCCAGGAACTCCGAAATTCATGCTCCGTTTGTGGCATTTGGTGAAGCCTGTCCGTCGGAATCGGGCTGACAGCCGCTCCAAACGCGGCTTCAATGGCACTTCCACCTACGGGCTACATCTTCAAAGTTAAAGGAGGGGAACATGTTTCTGGAGGTGAGTAGAGTTCGATTGGGACCCTTCCCAGCGTCTGAAGAGTGGACTGAACGGCGAGATTTCGTCGGAATCGAAGGAGAGGGTGCCCTGTCAAAGGAGACAAGTCCTGATTCACGCCATCGAAGATCGTTCCGCGTGCCTGGAGAAGACTGGCGGAGGGACCAGCGCCTCAGGACGGGTCGACCGCCACCTTACTTCTAATCGGCGATGGTCAGAAATGCAGTGCACGGGGGAGGGGGGGTGGTCACGCTGGCCTCCCAAGAAGAGAACAAGAAGAGAAAAAAAAAGAAACGGTCATTTTCTGGGCTATAATTCCGGTTCGATCGACTCGAATCCCCGGTTTGGGCTCAAATTCAATGATTCTATGGCTCAATTTGGCTCCGGTTTTTGGGCTTTTTGCCTGGTTTTCAAAATTTCAAAGCGGGTTTCAGAAAATTGCTTTCCCAAGCCAGTCCATTAAGTAAGTACCAATCAGGTTAGCAGCAATTAAAAAGTGTGATAGCTTTGGCTAAAGGGAATTGGAAAGTATCCTAGGTAGCAGGCGGTATCTTAAAGGAAATGAGCATTTTTATGGGGCACGAACGATCTAAGAAGAAAGTTTGGACTAACGATCAATGTATTGACCATGCCTGTTAGCGCTTGTGCCAGAAAGGTTTCAGTATCAGTAGGACTTGAAAGTGGTAGTCACTTTTAATGTGCTTAGAGTGGGCATGGAACACAGGCTTGGCCACCAGTGGTGGGTAGCGCTAGCAGCCTATTCACTCAGCCTAGGGGATAAGACTAACCTAATTTCCCTATTCACTTGAACCTAGCAAAGAGAACTGGGCTAAACCGTCTTCAATAGCAGTTGATTCAAAGGGAAGTTCTTTTAGAGCCTCTAGAGCCTATTCTCCTGTCTTGCTACTCGACTCGAAAGTCGAGTGGAGCAGGTTTGGTTTGACAAGTCTTTTCTCAGAGTCTGTCGTGGGGATCATCTGTTGACTTAATCGACTAAGAAGCCTTGCTCTGCACTCCTGGACAAAGCACGAGGGCATAGTCCAAGTAGAACTGGGTTGCGCTGCTTGATGCTTTCGATTGAAAACAAATTATTGGGGGCCTACTACTTACTTCCTAGGACATTTGATTCTGCAGCTCGAGTACGGGCATGGAACAAATAGGGGTGGGTAGGCCCACCACCATACCTACACGTATCGACGCGAACCCCCTCGTACACGTATAGACGCGAACCCCCCTCGTTACTGTACGTGCGACTCTCACCACATACGGCTCGCACAAAGACTCCTAAATCCATCTCGAGCCTTCCTAAAAAGGGAGTCTCTGATTGAAAAGTATGTTTTTCCTAAAACTGAAGCCGATTCGATTATGTGAGGTCGGAGAGCCTTGCAATTGTAGTCAAGCTTCTTCTATCACTGTAGTTTACTGCTCCTCAGTGCTATAGAAAGAAGGGGTCAGGTAGCCAGACTTCAAAAGGGGGAAGAGAGAAGGAAGACCGAAGGATAGACATTTCCCATTCCCCGAAGTAGCCTCAGATGTCACCCAAAGCCAAGTCGGCCATAGTGATTAGGGAGTCCTATGTGGAAGGGCTCTTACTCAATGGATCAAAGGTATGCTGGGGATAACAGGCTGATGGCTCCTAAGCGCCGGTCTCTGCTACCAGGACAGAGTCATCCGCTTGTCCCTTCGCACGTGAATATTGATATCCCAGCATCAGAGCTCTGATTTCTTTTGACCTTGGGCCCTCACTTCTTACTAGCTGCTCTTCCTTTACCCTCGATTTGATGCCCTTTCTACGAGTAGAGTCGATTCAGATTATGATGCAACACCTGAAAGAAGAGGCCCTCGCTTCATGATTTCGAAGACTGGTGGGGCGAATACGGAGTAGAAGGGTGTGATTCCGAAGCATAGCTGATAGGCGGGCTAGCTCCTGATGAGCACCCAACTGCACTTATCAAGGCTACCCCTATGGAAAACTGGACTACTGTTCAAGGTCTGATTGCTGACCTTAGGGCAGGCCTTCGTTTGCTTCGCTTTCTAAGAAGCTACTTTAGCAACAACGGCTTAAGGATTAAGGCTGCACCGTCCACTACTTTTTCAAGACTATCCAAGGCTTTCCATTCTGCAAAGTGTATAGAGCTTGCTTTTCTTCAAAGATGAGCAAGCTTTGGAAGCCTGTTTAACCCTACGGATCCTAAAGCTTAAAAAATAGGTGTGGTAAATCCACAGTTACAGACCAACACATGTGAGAGCCGAAAGCTTAATGAGATGGAGAGGCGTGGTCCAAGAGAAGGAGATGAAAGCAAGAGTGCACTACTTGAGAACGTGGAGGCAGGTTACGATTCATGGTCAAGACGCCAAGCTGGAGACAAGGTATACCGGTTTCTCCTACAACAAGGCAAGTTACTATCCTCTTCCTCCCCGAACGAGACCACCCCGACCTTTTGCCTAATTTTTTTTTCTTTTTTTGGGGTAGACTGCAAGATAAGTCTCTTTGGCTTTCCATAGCTATTAGCAGAACCTTCTTCATACGGCGAGAGTCATTGGTTCAAATCCAATAGTAGGTAAAACCGACCGAAACCCCTGCTTTTGCCAGCATGACAGCAAGTAAGCACGGACTAGCAGCAAGGCTCGGCAGTTCCTACTGAAGCTCTTTCCACTGCTGCTGGGACTCACTCACTCACCTACTCCTTCTAATAGTTTCTTTTATCTACGGAATTCAAAAGGCGGCATCGACCCGCTTTGCGATACGAACAGACACGAAGAAAGAACGCAGGCAGAAGAAACATCCAAAAAAAAAAAAAAAAAAAAAATCGTGTCATCAAAGTCATTGAACTGTGTCACTGTATCAGAAACTGTAGCACCAAGTCTAATGTGTTTTTTGAGCCGAGAAACATGAAACAGAGGATGGATAGAAGAACCAGGTGGCAACTGAAACTTGTAAGCAGCTGGTCCAATTTTCTCCAGAACAAGATATGGACCATAAAATGTAGGATTGAGTTTCATGTGTTTTCTTGTAGCAATTGACACACTTGTCCATAGGGTTGCAGTTTGAGATAAACCCAATTTCCCATTTTACAGTTGCAGCTGGGGTAAAATCTGCAGAAAGGTTATCATAAAGGGCTTGGAAAAGACTCATTTCAATGCTGGTATGGTAAAAGTGTTGTACCACCATTGACGTAGACTTGACCATTTGGACCAAGAATTGGATTTGGCAAACCCATGCACCTTGAATATGTTTATGGCATGTAGAGTTCTTTTTTCAATGAGTTATAGAAAGGACATGTGGGTACTCAAGAGACTAGCTGTCCCATGGGCCTTCCTCAACATGTGTCTAGAGATGAACTCCTATCTATGTTACTAGAAGCCAAAAGAAAAAGGTTAGATCCTCATTTTGGAACTAATGCTTCCGATTTCAGTTTTGGAGATTGGCAAGGTAGTTTCTACTAAGTTCCCTGATTTGGCTTTCAAGAAAACTTTGCTAAGAGATCTAAAACTGACAGGATATGAAGATCTTTTAAATTTGGTGCTTCAATTCTACAAAGTTCCCTGATTTTCTTAAACCAACGTCAGTATTGGAGATTGGCAAGGTAATATCTACTAGGTTCCCTGATTTTCTTCAAAGAATACTTTGCTAAGAGATCGAAAACTGACTGGAGATGAAGCTTTGGAATTTGGTGCTTTAATGTTTTTGGGAAGTATTCCCTAAACGGGGTTAAAAAAATGAATAACTAAAAGAATGATAAGGTAGTTTCTACTGAGTTCCCTGATTTGATTTCAAGAAGACTTTGCCAAGAGACCTAAAACTGACTGCGGATGAAGATATTTTGAATTTGTGCTTCAATGTTTGTGAGAAGTATTCCCTAAATGGGATTAAAATAAATAAATAAATAAAAGAAAAACTTTTATAGCTCATGTATGCAAGTAATTCAGATGCAACGAGGTCGGTCCCAAGGCCCATTCTCGATACGAATTTAGGCCTCTTGGACAAGACTTTTGTCTCGCAGCATCTCTATAATGAGACTGTCTAACTCGGGAACTCCTAGCCTTATTATCTTATAGGATTCTTGTTAGGAAACAATCCAATCAAATTTACAAAATGGTTCATTTGCAACATGGCTTACTATCAGACTATTTATTATTTCATTAGTCTCCAAACTATAGCACCCTTCTTTGAATCAAGTCTTGTCTTCAACTTTGAAGTGAGGAAACTGAGATTGCAGGAATGACCTATCTTCCCAAGAGGCAGCAGCAGCAGCAGGCATGCTTTTCCAAAGAGCTAACACTTGAGAGACAGTAGCATTATGCCTGGTAATGACTCTAGCATTCAGGATTCTTATGATTCAAAAATCTAAGTCGTGAACTGTGGCATTGTGTCAGAAATATTAGAACTGTGTCCAATGTGTTTTTTGATTCGAGAAACATGCAACCGAGGATGGATAGAAGAACTAGGTGCTAACTGCAACTTGTAAGCAGCTGTTCCAATTTTCTCCAAAACAAGATGTGGACCATAAAGTTTAGGACAGTTCAAGTTTTTTCTTAGAGCAACTGACTCATGTATAGGAGGTTGTAGTTTCGGATAAAACGCAATCCCCCACTCTACAGTTGCAGCGGCGTAAAACCTGCAGAGAGGTTATCATAAAGGGCTTGGAATGGACTCATTTTAATGCTGGAATTGTAGGAACCATTGTACAACCATTCAGCTAGACTTATTACTTTTTTTTCTCCCAATGTGTTATACAAAGGACATGTCTGCGTCTAATCTGAAAGACTCAGCTCCACGGACCTTCCTCAACTTGTGTCTAGAGATGAACTCCTATCTATATGTTACTACAAGCTGAAAAAAAAAAAAAAAAAAAAGGCCTTGTTCCCAGTGCTTAGTGTGAAATGACTGAATGCTGCCGGGTCGGACGAGCCAATAACTCGAACGTGTTCGGTCTGTTTTTTGCTGCTGTTGGATAATCCTTTCTTTCAATAGTTATATATAATACAGCTATTAATTAGAACTGCTTCACAATGTCTTATTCAATATTAGAACTTCTTTATGACGGAAAGCTATTGTATTTAGAACTTCCTCATAAAGTTCTTGGTGGTAAGGGGAGAAGAAGCTGTTGAGGTGACCCCAATATCAATGTTTTTTCCTAGCTAAAAAAGGAAAGATTAGGTTGGCTTTTTCCAACCAAGAAAGGCATGGGTTCAACTCAAGTAAATATTTTACCTCCGTTAAACGAAGTCCTCTTGGGGACGCCTAAAGGAAGCAAAGTGAGGATAGAACTTAAATGAAGGGGAATAGAAGCCTTCCGATTCGTCAGTATTAAAGGAGAAGAGGAGCCTGAGAAGGAAGCTTGAATTAGGTCCTGAGAAAGTGCATCTATTCCCATGGAATCTCCGATCGGGAGCTTTTAAGGACTCGCTAGTGTCCAGGGAATTGACCGGTATCTCCCGTAAAGCCTCTTCGAGCTTCACTGAGGTAGTTCGACTAAGCTGGTTGAGAAGCTTTTCCACACTTTTTGAGTCCTAAGAGTGAGTTCTATGGAACTTCTCCACCAAGAAATTCGATCCATCATCTTGTCCAGAGGTACTCATTAAGATACAGAAAAGGGAGGAAACAATTCCTCATATAACTGAGAGGGAACGTGTCCGGGATAGGATAGGCGAAGACTGGATAGAATAGAAGATAGGGTATCACATTGCTGGACTTTCATGAGTATGTAAAAGGACATCAAATCCTGGATTTTTCGGAAGTCTTCTACAGAGAGAAAGTCCGAGATGGTTTAGGTAAATGTCCCGTGGCCTCCTAGCTCTCTTCTTAAAGATCCTAGCTTCTCTAATACCAGTTTTCGTGTCGTTTTCCCAGTAAGAAAAGCGCTTCTCTCTAAGGTTGAACCCGCGTTCTATGAAGAAGCAGATCTAATTAGATTGTGTCATAGATTTTTTTCTCCTCTGAGTTTTAAAGCCAAGCCAAAAGTCGATCGTCTCGAAATCTATTTCTTGGATAATAGAAATTTTGCCTACAGGGTTGGTGCGTCTGATCAATCAAAGGAAGCTAAGGTTACGATCTTCTACTGCTGGCTCCCCTTCGTTTTAGACCCTCTTTTTCTCTCATAAAGAAAGTGTTTCCAATCAAACCCGAACAGGGTACTCTTCGGTATTCTATGAAATTTCTTGGCTGTGAGCTATTCCTTCTTTCTATTTGCGTCTAGAATGCTCTATAAGTAAAAAATGGAATTCGGCCCAAGAGCTAGAGACTCTTTTTGACATTATTTAAGTCTTCATTCTGGCTTTGCTCTCAGTCAAAGAGGACAACTGTAACCCTCCTTCCTATCCTTTCTTCTCTTATGAAAATTCCGAATAACTTATAATAAATGAACTATACCCATCGGTATGGGATTCAAAACCCTCTCCTTTCTTTAGCCTTATTTCTGGAGAATAGATGTGAATAGGGTAGCTACAAAGGATTAAGCCTTTGAGGCCCCTAAGCTTGTAACGAAGAGTACTGTCCAAAAAGGCCCTAATCAATCAACTTCTAGGGATACTTTATTGTAAGTAAGTTTTGAACATGGAAGAAAGGGCTGCGATGCCCTGGAATCCCTATCATGCAAGTACGGCATTTGAAAGATTTGGGCCTAGTGAAATCGATAAGAATGAAAGATTGGGACTAAGCGAAGCTTCCCAGTGAGAGCTGGTACCGTCTCGAACATCAAGTTAAGAGGGGTTAATCGAACCTCAAAGTGAAGCATTCAATGTCCAGCGTCGGCTATAATGAAATGTCGGCTAAAGCAAGCATGCTATAGAGCTAAGCCATGATATAGAGCTAAAGCATGCCTATAGAGGCGTCAAAAATCCCAGAGTGCGCTTGCAATCAGCCCTCTTCTGGACGGAGCTGAAGGTCTCAAAGAGTCCAATGCCTTGGACATAGGGCAAGGTGAAGACGAGTGCGCTGCGCCATCAGCAAGTAGGGAACAATGCGCTATGAGATCAGGGTAGCGGGGTAACAAGAGTGAGTTTTTTCCATTTTGAAATAGAACGAGCTCAAGTAAAGAATCGTCTTTTCTTTTTTCCTATATTTGATAGGCGGGGCTTAGCTCTAGCGGGCTGGGCTTTTTGACCCTCACAGCAGCTTCTTCGAGACAACAGCCATGAGTGCAACAAGAGCTGATAGGCCCAAGAGTTTGATTCAATTGCAGCATTCGATGCCTATTCTTTCTAATTCTATATGTGGATTTTTCTTCCCACTTGCCTTAGTAGCCTTTCCTCCCCCTTCCCCAGCGCGGATTTCACTTACTACTTTGACTTTCCCTTAGGGCAAGAGGAATTCCGTGAGAAGGATCGGAACTTCTTCGTCTGCCCCAGGGGATCATCTGTTGACTTATCGACGCAGAAAGCCTTTGCTCTGCACCTCGGCTCTTCTTTCATGAGACTCGTGTAGTCCAACCTAAAAAGAGCTCCACTTTAGCAGGAAGTGACTTATTTGGTAAGCGGGAAGCAGATTGATTGATTGCTCGAAGAGCTAGGAAGACTATTCCTTTACTGATTGGAATGAATATTTATTGAAATGAAATTCCTTTTATTGCTTGCACGCTACCAGAAGAGGGAGACGTGGCCCTAAGTTTAGGTTGAGACGGGCCGGCCCCGAGCAGGCCCACTGGTCTTATGGCCCAAGAGGCTGGGTAGCAAACAGAAGTGTGGGTCCCAGTCGCCAAAATTGGCCTGTTAACATCCCGGACCAAAGACAAGCCGCTTTTTGGGTTCGGGAACTCCGCCTATCTCAATCCTTGGATGAGAGAAGTGAAAACAGGCAAACTCCGAGCTTAAGGTGAGGGGGTATAGATGTTAAAAAGTTGTATTCGAATACCCTTGAAAAGGACCTCTTATCTATCTTTCCTTTCAAGAAAGAAGCTAGAAGCCTATAGAATCCCTTGGTCCCCGAGCTTTCACTTTCCCTTCCATTAGGATCAACTTTCCTCCTTCGCGCCTTTGTGGCCTTCCTTTGAAGTGGCAACTGGATTTGCCTAGTGAAATGACTATCTCGATGGAAGCTTAGATAGGTCAGTGGAATTCTTTGCCAGTTTTGCTTTTTATCCCTTGAACCTAACGATTTTCATAGCCAGGAAGAAAGGCATTGATAGGCTTACGAGATCGAAAGGGTAAAGGAGTTCATTCTTGGACGGTCTGACTGGTGTACCCGGAATAAAAAAAAAGGAATTTAGGGGCCCGAACTAGAAAGCATACCCCATTTTATTTTGCCCCACCGAAGGGGCCTCTTTTCTTCCAAAAACCTTATCAATTACAGGGGGAAGAAGGTCAAAAAACCAGTACTATCCGGAACTACCTTCAAGACTAGCCTTCCTCGAATCAAGATCTGAGTAATTTTAAGATTTGATCTTAGCATTGGTAGAAATGAATTGAATTGGCTTGGGCTTCAATTCATAGACAGGTCCAAGGATATCTTCTCTCCAAAAGACCAAGATATTGCAGGGATTCATCCGAAAGATGTTCGACCTTCATCCCATCCATACGCAATCTCCGCCTCAATTTTTGATACACTAGTTGGACCTCTAAAACCAATTGGTTTTCAGGATGACAACCAAAGCTAAAGCCCCCGGTCCGAGCAAAGATCGTCTGAGACGTCTATGCGTGGGGCCATTGCTTGACGTCCCCTTGCATTCCAAAACAATTTGCAATTGTGGAAATTTTGGAAAATAGAGTGGGGTGGGGTGGGGCTTAGCCCCAAGTTTTGGATTGTGCCTAAGTTAGTCCCGCGCTCTTATCTTACCCAGGTGCTTGCCCTTTGTTTGCCTTGTTCGGAGGCTCCGGTTTCAAATCTTTCTCAAAGATAGATGATTGTGGTCCTGAGGGAGCTATTCGGATTCTTCATCATGATTATTGGAATGAAGAGGCCTTTGAGGACCTTCCTTCTAAGGAGAAAGCGCGAACTTGTCTCTTGTAATGGCAACCACTAAAAAAAGAGGGTTAACCATTGGTTCATTGGAATTCCGGGCCGGATGGATCCAGTGCATGAATCCGTAGAGGGTCTTGGATTTCAACAAAATTTTCTGTAAGGATAAACCTACCTCTTCCTGCTGTCCCCGTGAGGGAGAGCTAAAACCGCCGGTATTTTATTATAGGATGCGTTAACCGAAGGCGATTTTTCCAATAGCTAAATACTCCGATTTTTTGAAGAACAGGAAGTTTGGGGAATTTGTTTATCTGGTTCAAGCTCTTCGCCCCGAGGACCATCTTCCAATTGGTTTGCATGTAGCAAGCAGCACATCTGAATCACGAAGGCTAACTTTCAACCAATGGTAGCAGGCCCTGGACTTACTTTAAAAGCTTCTGGATTGGTTTGGGTATTAGCATGAAAAAAACCGGAGCATTATTTTGCAGCTTCAGCCAGACCAGCATACCTCAGTAGGTGCAATTTTGAACAATAGCCGCATTATATCAGCTAGCAGGCAATTGTTTCAGTGGGTATGACCGTATTGGTAGCATTGGTCTTGTGAACATAAGGCCATTCTCGGTGACGGGTTGCACCAGGTTTCCTTATCGCCACTTTGCATTCGTGACGGGCATGACGTTGTCGTCTGCAATGCGTGCAGAACTTAGGTTATTCAAAACAAAAAAAATTTATTGCTAGTGATCATATAAAGTAGATCCAATCCAAAACAGATTGGGGAAGGTTTTCCTTGAGAAGACAACTTCCTATTGATTTCATCCCCCACATATGTCAGCATAGCCATGTGTGGATAGAAGACGACCGACCTTGGAGCAGTTTGCTAAGAGGAATGTATAGAATGAAAGATCAACACCGATCAATATGACACAAAAAAAGCCTTCGCTACATTAATGGCTTTCTATATCAACTTCGTTTAGTTACTTTGGAAGGAAAACGGTGTTATAGTCCGTAGGAGTAGTTACCCAGTAGGCTATATTACCATCAATAGCAAGTGAACCTTACCTTTTTTTCGTTTCGTTAACAACCCGGAGGTATCTAAAAAAGCCCTTCCCATATTGGTCCTGTCCAACAAGATGTTGTTCGGATGTGAGCCTCAATCTACACTACATTAATTACACTTATAGAATGCTTACGAATCGCAATTCCTAAGCTATTCTGGCTGCTAGATCAGAGTCCAGTCCGGGTCCATGAAAGCCATTCCAGAAGCGAATGAAACTGGCAGATAATGAAATTGATTCACCTAAATCTTCCTCTTCCGCTTAAGATGAAAGCTCTTTCTACTGACACAGACTACCTCCCGCCCTTCGCCCTTACTCCTTCGTAAGCCTTACTCCTTCGGGAAGAAAGAGGGTAGCTTAAGGCTAGAGCGAATTAGAACAGTATGCCAGTTGCGTAGCAGAGATTAAGAAAATGAAGAGAATTTTAGTGACCCAAATGCTTTCTCCGGCGAAACAACTGTGGTTTTCTGGGAAAAGAGTAGAAGGAGCTGATCACCTTGTCCGTTAGGTGTACAAGCAATGCAGTGAAGGTGGTTTAGTGGATGTGAGGATTGCTGCAAGACACTATTGTGGAAATGTAATTAGGAAAATGGTGTTTAATAAGAGGTTTTTTGGAAAGGGAAAGAAGAATGGCGGACCTGGTTTTGAAGAAGCACAGCATGTTGATGCTCTTTTTAGAATTCTTGATCTTGATTATTCATTTTCATTTTGTTTGTCTGATTACTTGCCATGTTCGGAGGGCTTTGACTTGGGTGGTCGTGAGAAAATTATTAAAGAGGCTAATGGGATTATAGGAAAATATCATGATCCTATAATTGAAGACAGAGTTCAACAATGGAAGGATGGAACTAAGAAGGAAGAAGAGGACTTGCTTGATGTCCTTATTACTCTAAAAGATGATAACGGCAATCCTTTGCCATCGACATATGAGATTAAAGCTCAAATTACAGTAATTCTCACTTTTCTCTCCTTCTTCTACTTAGTAAAATGATTTATTTTATTTTAATTGGCCGGAAGAATCCGAAGGCCACTGCTCCACTAATCCAAATTCCTGCCGGACAGGCCCATAAAGGGGACAAACCGCTGCTTCCCAAATGTTTAAAAGGACCACACACACTCAAGGGTCGAACTCGAGACCTCTAGTTAAGAGATAATGGATCTCTGCCATCCCATTTCACTCTCAAGGGTGATTTGACTTATTTATTGATATTTGATCAATATTTAATTGACTTTAATTGATTTACTCCCTCCGTCCTATTTTATTTGCATGGTTTGACAAAACACCATATTAAAAGTTTAGTCCACAAAAATTATTTTGCATTTTTTTATCCTTAACTCATAAGATATTAATCAGAGTCATTCATTTAATGAACAATTATAAAAGTTATTATAAGAAAAGTAATTATTTAAATATCTAAATTTAAAAATCTCATAAACATCTCGGGACATCTAATAAAGGGATAAGAAACAAATAAAATGAGATAAAATGAGTAATATATATAGGTGGCTCCATACAATAAGTGTATATCAATCTGATCCAAAATTACCAAATTTTATGTTTTTTCTTGTTTTATTTTACTGTTCTCTTTCTTATTAATTAAATAGTTGGTTGAATTCCAAAATTAACCTACGTTTCTCACATGCTTAAAGTTTCATTACTAGTAATTGCATGTTGAATTTTATAACATCTTATCAATTTTATTAACAATAATTGCTTCAAATTTTACCGTTCCCTTTCTTATCAAAAAGCAAATTGTATGTTACCGTTCTCTTCATACTTCATGAGGTCTCGCGGGTCTTGCCTGTAGGTCGTGATGTGCCCCGAGATGGCCGTCTCCTGTCCCCATACCCGTGGGGAATCCGCTCCCCGGTTGTCGCTCTGCTGCGTCTGGCCCGTCCTCTAGATACCTTACACGATTTGAGTTTAAAATGTTAACTGTCAAAATCAATTATCTTATAAAAACTGTTCTCAAAAAAAAAAAAAAAAATGGCCCGAAATTGACTTGGCTCTGCCAAAAGGCTCATCTCTAGAAGCCCGGGCTCACGAGGCGTCCCTTCGCACAGTAGGGTTTCTGCAGAAGTCTCGCCTCGCTCTTGTGACATGTATCTTTCCTCTTTTATTCCTAAGTAAAGGGTGAAAAAAAGGTTCCTCCCCCCAAATGCGTCAGTTTTGTGGGATCGCGGTCTCACGCACTAATCCCTACAGGTGCCCCGTAGTAGGGCCGGCCGCCCTACCTAAACCAATCATCAATTCGGTC